TAGGATTAAAAATCTCAATTCTTTATTTCGTTTTTTTTTGTTAACAAACAAATCCTTGCTAATCTTTTCATCTCAGTTTTCTTTTAGAATTAATTAGAAAAAAAAAACTTTTTCCTTGACATATGAGAAAAACTTCTGAATGTATATAAATTGACAAAAAAAGGTTTTTTAAAAATTATTTTTAATTAAATATACATTTTCAAATTCTTCTTTTTTCTTTTAAAAAAAAAGGAAAGCATTTGATTATCATTTCATTCCTTATGCATTTCAAATATTTTTACAGATTTGAATGGATCAATTTTTTTTTCCACTTTTTTTTTAAAAAAAAAAACATATTTTCGTTATAAATTCATATACATTTAAAGATTTTCATAGATTTAATGAATTAAAATGAATCCAATTTAGAAAACTTTTTTTCAACAAAAAAAAGTTTTCTTTCTTTTTTCCAAATCTGATTTTATTCATTTGAAAAACACAAAGATTTTCCTATCTTTTAATAATACTTATAATTTTAAAAATGTTATAAGAAAAAAATTTTTGATAAAATGGAATAAAACTTTTATCAATTATCATCTTTCCTTTGCTAACTTGGAACAATAATCAATTATTGTTTGCATATATATATGTATATATTCGTTATCTTAATGAATTATCACTATTATTTTTAGCATCAATAAATCTAGCAGCAGTATTCAATTATTAAAAGAATGAAAGTAAGAAAACATTTAGGAAGAAAAAGAAAAAAAAACCTCAGATATCGGGGGGAAATTTCTCAGATATTCCCTCACATATTGAGGGATAATAATAGGAAAAGATAATAAATTCATTAATAATACTAAAATAAAAAATAATTTTAGCTATTTTTCAAATATATAAAAATGGATGAATAGAAGATTGAAAAGAAATGAATGAAAGCAGTAAATAATAAATTCAATTAGGAAATAAATTCAAATTTAGTTTTCATTTCCTTTTTTCTTATCTTTCGTTTACATCGAATAAAATTGAAAATATAATTGGAAAAAAAAAGAAAATTAAATTAAAAAGAAGCTGATGAGAAAGGAAAAAAAGAATAAAAACAAAAACAAAAATAGATAAAATTAAATGTAAATGAAAAAAAAAAATGGATTTGGATTATCCAAACATAACAGTGATAGAGATGATAATAATATTGATAATAATGATAGGGATGATAATGATACTGATAGTAGTGATGTTAATTGTAATTTTTCTTGTTCTGGTATTTTTTATGGTTTTTATGATCAAATAATGATAATAGTGATAGAAATGATAATGAAGCTGATAATAGTGGTAGAGATGATAATGGTACTGACAGTAGCGATAAGGATGATAATAATATTGATAATAATGGTAAGGGTGATAATAATATTGACAGTAGTGATAGCGATAATAATAATACTGATGATAATGGTAGGGATAATAATACTGATAATAATGGTAGGGATGATAATAATACTGATAACAGTGATAGAGTTAGAAATAATATTGATAATAGTAACAGGGATGATAATAATATTAATAATGATGACGATAATAATGATAACGATGATGATGATGATGATGATAATATTGATTATAAATTTGAGGATGAAATAGTGGTGATTGATAAAATGTGTATAATAAAACATCTGGCATACTATTATTTTTTCCTTTCTTATCCTCTTCTGCTTTTACCGCTTGGCGGAAAATAACAATAATGGATTTTTATATTATACATAAGCTATTTATCATTTATTCTCCTTTTTTTTTTCAAAGAACAAAAAAACCATTTTCTTTCTTACTTTATCTCTTTTTTCCCTCTCTCTCTCTCTCTCCTCTCTCTCT